TTCAGTGCCAGGCTCTCACAAGCACCCACAGCTGCGCGGGTTGAGCTGAACATGGGGCGGTGACCTGCGCTGTGTCTGATTCCCCTTCCTTCCCTCCCCTGGAACAGTGTGTTGCTTTTAGACACCACTTGTCCTGGTTGCTTCAGAGTGCTTCAGAGAGACTCCATATCTAAATTTCCCTATTTCCCTGGGCCTGCCCACACTTCTGGATTCACTTGAGCATGGACCTCGCCAGACATTTGACACAAAGGTACAACAGTACTGGCCTCTGTATCACCTTTTATAATATTAATTTGCATTCCAAGTTTAGCGATCAAATCCCTTCCCAGTAAATCATGATAACATTTCGGACCAAGTCAAAATTCATGCATTTCAAATCTCTCTCCCAGATGTACCAATAGTGCTTGAATAAAACCACACATCTTTCCCACTTAACTCCTCACTAATCAAACATATTTTTAGCATTTTCCCCCCTATATGTCTAAGATTCAGAGTGGATTGAGAGGCCCCTGTGTCCATCAGGAAATGCGTCCTCTCAATGCAGACCCACCCTGAATGTTCTCAAGGGCTGCAGTGTGGAGGGTCCCTGGTGTGATGGGAGCTGTGACAGCCCTGCCAATCCATGTCCATCAAGGGGTGGACTTGCTGGTCCTGAGGGTGCTGCTGTCTGTGCTTGCAGTGTCCTTGTGCCGTGCAGCTGGAGCCCTGGTTCCTTGCCAGGGGCTGTTTGGGTGGGCTCTCCCCTGCCGAGGAGGGCAATGCCTCTGCCATGTGCTTGTGGCCGAGCCGTGCGCTGGGTGCTGGGGCCCCCTTGGGCCCTGGGGTTGATCCCTCAGGGGCTGTAGGAACTGTGCCCTGGCCTTTGCCTTCAGCTTGGCCTTTTCCTGCTCCCTTCCTGCACTCACCTGCTGTGCCTTTGTGCCCAAGTGCTGCAGGGCCTTCTTGTGCCCCTCCTGCAGCCCCCCTCAGTGCCTGTGGGTGCTTGTCTTGCTTTCCAAGAGAGGTGTCTGCTCGGGAAGGCAGAAAAAGCCTCTCTTGGAATGGAGAATGCAATCCCCCTCCCTCTTAATTTTTAGAATAGTGAAATGAAGGGGCTCTGAGGCAAAGATATGGGAATAGGAATACCAGTTCTTTACTAGTGTGTATAATAAAGCAAAGAAACACCAACAGCTGCGGCACTGACAGCAAACAGAGCCCGGACCCAGTCCCGGCCTTTGGGCTGCGGCGCTTTGCCCTTGGGTGCAGTTCCGGGCACGGCCGGCAGGGGCGCTGGTGGCTCCCGCGGGGCGGGGCAGCGCATCCCTCCCATGGGAACCTCTCTGAATGGAAATAGAGCAATCCCTTCATCTAACTCTTTCACTTTTTTACCTTCTATAGCCTTTCTCCTGTGTTTTGAGACAGAATTTGGAGAGGGCTGCCTTTTAACTGAGCTCCTAGTGTTTCGATAAAGTGCTTCCTGTAGAGAGAGAGAGATTCCCTGAACAGCCGGAGCTGTGGTTACCAAGGGGATGTAACTCAGAGCAGGACGGGGTCAGGGGAGGATATCCCGCCGAGGCTCGTTGGGAGTGTGGGCAGGGTCTGCTGCCGGAATCGCCAGAGGGGGATCTTCCCGTGGAGCCCGAGGCGGAGCGTGGGTAGCCCCAACATGGCTGATGGCGGCTGATCCGGCAGCTGCCAGCAGAGGAAAGGCAGGTGGGAGAGCCCGGCAGCAGCGGCGGTGCCCAGCGCAGGTGGCACGGGCAGGGCAGCCGGGGATGGGATGGCTGGGACCCCCCTGGGTGCAGTGGGCGCGGTGACCTCGGAGCAGGCGGCAGGACAGAGCAACCCCCATCTTCCCCAGCATGGGCGGCAGAGCGGCCGCGGGCCAGGCAGTGGGAGCAGGGCACACAAATTGAGCGACATCGCCGGGGCAGGTAGAGCTGCCCTGGGCAGTGAGGCCGCACCTGGGATGGAAACCGGGGCAGGCGGAGCTGAGGCGGGCAGCGAGCCGGGACCCGGGACAGGCGCCTCAGCTGTGAACGGAGGGGGCAAGCCCTGCAGAGGATCCCACTCTCTTTCTGATTTTTCCTCTTGTTCCCTTCCCTTTCATTTCCCTTTTTTTTTTCTCGGGGCTTTCTGATACTTTAAAGATTTTTTTTTCTTCTAAAATCCTCTGTGTAACATATTGCATATTCTCTTCTAGGTAAATGGGTTTTTTTACAAATAAATCCAACGCCTAAGAAATCAAAACTTCTGCTTGGATACATTGAAATGGTCGATGAGCTAACTCACGACCTCCTAATGTTGTTTTTCTCATCACCTTTTCATTTATCCTTTGGCAAATTAAGCATCTTTCAGTTACTTGCTTTGCAACTCCAAAAATCCCAACGCACCCATAGTTCCTTAAAAAATGATCACACAATGCTTGAATACCCCAGTGGGTTTTTTGATGCATGTCTTCTAATATTTTCTTAGAAGCACATTTATTAAGTAATTGTCTTCCATCAAGAAGTTTCCATTTCCCTGATTTATCTTGTTCACTTCCTGTCGTGTTTAAATCTTTTTTCTCGGCTTCCCTAGACTTTGGAATTTCCAATTTTTCCTCCTTTGGAGTTAATGTTAACATAACTCTTTCAGCTCCATTTTCTGCTGCATCCTTAGCTTTGTGCTCTGCCCCCACTTTGCCCAGTTTGCCTCTCCTTTGGCCCGGGCTGGGTTCCCCCCGCCCGCAGCGGCTGGAGCCGCCGAGAGCCCCACGCTGCCCATCCCGACCTGTCCCAGCTCCATCCCCGCTCCTGCCGCGGGCTGCGAGGGCTGCGGGAACAGGGCACCGAGTGTGTGGCTGCTGCTGGGGGAGGAGGAGGAGGGAGGGAAGGGCAGGGATGAAGGGGGAGGAGGAGGTGGGCTTAGGGAGGAGGAGCAGGGGTAGAAGGGATGGAAGAGGAGGGATGAAGGCAGATAGAGAGCCGCAATGGAAGGAGGAGAAGGAGCTGGGGTTTGGGAGGTGGAAGAGGAGAAGGTACGGAAGAGCAGGGATGGTAGAGGCGAAGGAGGTGGAGATAAGACAGAGGAGGAGGGGGAAAGGAAGGGGAGGAGTGGGAGGAAGAGGAAAAGGAGGGACAAAGGCAGATGGAGGCTGAGCTGAGGGAACCACACGGTCGATCCCTGCCTGAATTCGCAGCCCCCACCTGTGGAATCATTGCCTCACAATCGTGCTGGTGAGCGGGGAGGGGGAGCTCGGCCCAGATATCCTGGGGGATCCCTGGGTTGGGGTTTTTGGGGGGATGTTTGGAGAACGAAGGAGTCCAACGCTGAGCGGAAAAGGTCCCTTGAGGGGACATCAGGGGGTGGCGGTGGAAGCTGCCGGCAGGAGCAGAGCCCTGTGTCCCCCAGGAGCCCAAAGTGGGGAGTCCAGAGAGGGGGTAGCGCCGCCATTGGCGGGAGCCTCAAGAGCCTGGAGAGGGGCAGGGGGGACTCCTTGGAGCCGCTGCAGCCCAGAGCAGAGAATGAGGGGAGAAGGGAGCCCGGGAGCCCAAAAATCCCCGGCATCCCGAAATGGGGAGAGCGAAGCGGGGGGAGCTTTTGGCATTGCTGGGACTGCCAGCAGCCTGGGCAGGGTGGGCACCGGGCACAAGGGGGACCCCCAATCCAAGCATGACCCCCAACAGCTGGGACGGGGGAAAACCCCTGAACACCAGAGAGGAGGGACCAGGGATGGGGAACTCCTGGGAGGCTTTTTCAGGGCTGAATCTTGGTGGTTGGGAGGTTTTTCTGGAGCCGAGGTGGCCGGTGACTTGTAGAGATGAACTCGGGCACAGGGACCTTCAAACTCAGTGTGTGCTGGGGAAGGTGAAACAGGAAAGACTTACAAATACAATTGTCTTGCAAAAGATTTTGAGAATATAGAAAGTATTAGGAAGACTGAAATGAAAGCAATTCTGAGATACCTCAGTGAACAAGTGGAAAACAATGGTGTGGCCCACTGAAGGTAATCCCCTTTTGATGAAACAATTCCCTCTGCTTGCACACAGATCCAAGGGTCAGAGCAGACCCTACTAGCTCAGCAGAAGGGGTCCAAAGAGGAATTTTTAGGGCGTAAAATGTAACACAGTGTGGTGATGTAATGATTCTTACAGGCTGTATGTAAATTCTGTAGGATTTGTATCTTGTACTAGATTGGTTGGTGAGAAGTAGAATATTCAACACAGAAGAAAACTTAGTGTGTTGTAATGGGAACGTTACTGTGTTATGCTCTTGCCTGTCTTTGTCTTTTACCCTCTCATCCTCTCTACCCCTTTCTTCTCTCGGGCCTGCCCCGAGCTGTGCCTGGCAGCTCCCAGCAGGGCCCTGCACCCAGGCCCTTTGCAATAAATTGCAAGTTCCACGCCCTGGCAGCAGAGATCTCTCGTCTCCGTCCGTCCCGACCGTCCTACCCCTGACACTCCTACAAATGTTCTCATCTGTTGTTTTCCCCAAACCAGGATTTCCCATTGCCAACCCCAGGGAGGCTGCGAGGAAGAGGAAGATGCCCCGGGACACTGAGGCAGGTGAGGAGGAAGTCAGTGCCCCTTTCCCCTCTGTGCTGCTCCATCTCCCAGCCTGGCACGGCCCCAGTAGCAGCTCAGCCCTGGGGGATTTCCTTGTCCTTGCCTGTGGCACGGAGGCAAATCCCATCCTGTCCTTGTCCTTCCTCCCCCAGAGCAGGAGGTGAGCATGGAGAGCAGGGAGGACAAATGCCCGCGGCAGAACCTGGTGGAAGAGGCCGTTTTGAGCGGCTCCACGGCGCAGGAAGCCAACGGGGAGGAAAAGCCCTGGAGATGCCGCACGAGGAGGGGCTGCAAACGCAGCTGGCGGGGATCTGAGGGGGAAAGAGCCAGCCTGGGCCGGGAAGGCGGCCGGAGACGGAGCCAGAGCTCGGAGCTGGTGCTCCATGAGCAGCTCCCTGGTGGGGAGATGCCCCACACGTGCATGGAGTGTGGGAAGAGCTTCAGGTGGAACTGCTCCCTGATTGTCCACCAGAGGATCCACACTGGGGAATGGCCCTACGAGTGTGGGGAGTGTGGGAAAAGCTTCAGCCTGAGCTCCATCCTGATTGTGCACCAGAGGACCCACACTGGAGAAAGGCCGTACAAGTGTTCCGAGTGTGGGATGTGCTTCAGCCAGAGCTCCGGCCTGATCCAGCACCAGAGGATCCACACTGGGGAACGGCCCTACGAGTGTGGGGAGTGTGGGAAGAGCTTCAGCCAGAGCTCCAGCCTGAACCAGCACCAGAGGATCCACACTGGAGAAAGGCCGTACACGTGTTCCGAGTGTGGGATGTGCTTCAGCCGGAGCTCCAGCCTGATCAGGCACAAGAGGACCCACACTGGGGAGAGGCCCTGCGAGTGTTCCAAGTGTGGGAAGAGGTTTCAGACCAGCTCCCATCTCCTCCAGCACTATCGGATTCACAGAGAGGAGAGGCCCTTCCAATGCCCCGACTGCGGGAAGGGATTCAAGGACAACTCCACCCTTGTCAGGCACCGGTGCATGCACACTGGGGAGAGGCCCTACGAGTGTGATAAATGCAGGAAGAGGTTTCCGACCAGCTCCCATCTCCTCCAGCACTATCGGATTCACACAGAGGAGAGGCCCTTCCGGTGCCCCAACTGTGGGAAGGGATTCAAGCACAACTCCACCCTCATCACCCACCGGCACATCCACACTGGGGAGAGGCCCTACGAGTGTCCCCAGTGTGGGAAGAGCTTCTCCAGCAGCTCTAACTTGACCCGACACCAACGGAGGCACCACTAAGGGAAGCCCTGCGAGTGCCCAGAGTGCTGGCAGAGCTTCGTGCGCTGCTCCAGCTCCATCCCCCACTGGAGGAGGCACTTTGGGCACAGCCCTGGTCACTCAGATTCCCTGTGATCCATGTTGGGAACACATCTGGCTGCTTAGACTTTTGGTTTGGCCCTATTTATCCTCTGCTTCACCTTCGTCCTTTAAAAACACCCCAAACTGGTTTAAATGAAGGAAATTGATCGAATATATCTGACGTTGCATATTTTCTCAGTTGTTTTAGAGGGAATTTAGGATTTGGGGATGCGTTCTGTGTGGAGTGCTGCTGTTGCTAAGAGGCAGGAATTTGATCTCACCCTCCTTATGATGCTAAGAACTCCTCCCCTGACCCAAACCCCAGCTCCACCCTTTGGATACCCTGTAAAAATTCCATGGCCCTGGCTTTCCCCTGCCTTTAGGAGTTAAGAAATGGATTCCCAAAGGATCAGCCCTATTCCCACTGTATTCCAAGAGGATGAACCTGTTTCACTGGATTCCTGGAGGATACTGACTCTATCACTGTTTTTTTTTTGTTTGTACTACTGCATTTGTATTTTTAATTCTTCTTAATAAAGAACTGTTATTTCTACTCCCATGTCTTTGCCTGAGAGTTTTTTATTGTAAAAAACTCGCGCCCCGTCCTAAACCAGCCAATCACCACGGGTCTCCCCTCAGGAACACCAGCCTCTCTGTGCACCGATCCAGCCAATCACCGCACGCCTCCCCACCGCCTGCCTCTCACGCGCCGAACCAACCAATCACCGCATGCCTCCCCTCACCAACTCCCGCCCTCCTTGCGCCACTGCAGCCAATCAGATCCAAGCATGGAGCAGTGCCCCCTGACCCCGGGGCCGGGCATGGAGCGGGCGCTCCCTCCCCCCCCCTACCCCCCGGGACCCCCTCAGGGACCCCCGGGAGCCGCCCCAGGCTCGGGCGGGTCCTGCGGGAGGCACTGGAGAGAGCGGGGGAGGCGCTGGGAGAGGACGGGGGGGCTCCAGGAGCTGCTGAGGAGGCGCAGGGACAGGTGAGGGGTCCTGGAGGGGTCGTGAGGGGAATTTGGGGAGGGGTCTTGAGGAGGTTTGGGGGGGATTTGGGGAGGATCCATGGGAAACTTGAGGGAGTTTTAGCAGGGTCTGGGGGGACTTTGGGGGGGAATTTGGGGAGGGGTCCTCGGGGGGTGTCATGATCCGTCGTCACGGACGGGTTTCGTGATGGTTCATGGATTTGATCTCAGGGTGCAAAAAGATCCGACGTGGTACAAGGGGGTTTGCAATGATAATCGAAACAAATGCACCTTTATTGAATGAGCACAGAAAAATGTGATAGAGGGATTAAGGGAGAGAAAAAGATGGGGGAAGAGAGAGAGACAAAAGAGAGAGAGAGAGAAAGAGAGAGGGGATAGAGCTACCAAACATAGAGACAAAGTCCTTTGGTCCAGTCCAGTCGAGGATCCGCTGTTATGTCGGGGAGATCTCGAAGTCTCTCGCTAACTCAGAGGTTTTTATTATGATAACTCTATTGAAAATTGCGGAGGGTGGGGAACAGATACAATAAGGAACAGATGTAACAGGTAGTCCATGCTCTCAGCAGTAAATGACAGCCATTGTCTTCTTGGTCCAGGGGTCACAACCTGCAGGCAAACGTCTCGCTTTGGTCAGCTTGCCTCCCCCACACACCTGCCCCGGGCTGGGGGTTTCAGTCCCAGTCCTTGGAAGGAGCAGAGGGGCCTTTTCACATGGGGGTTCCATGTCTCAGTCCTTGATGGAGAGGCTCCTTACATCTCAGTCTGTCTGTCACGGTGGTTGTAAAACAGGTGAGGGTCTTCTGTGGGGGGACCACCTGAAACTCAGGAGAAGTCCAGCCAGGCCAAGAAGTGGGACAGCTTCCAAGGCTGTTGTTGCAAAACGGCCACGGTGTCCTCTTCTTCTTCTCATTGGGCTCAGTGTAGCCTACAGCAAACAACACCTGTGAGAACAATGGCTTAGCAACGCTCTCAGGTCTCAGGCACATGACTTTCTCCTTTGGAGCCAGGGATTTAAGAGAGGCGGGGGTCTTCTCTTCAGTGGTCCCCCAATGACGATCATGAGGCAGATGAGGGAAAATCCGGACAGACTCTCACATGACACCATTACTCACAATTGTCTTGAGGGATCTTCATCAGCAGAACTTTGGAGTATCGTTGATGAATCTGCAGAACTCGCAGTACGTTGGTAGTATAACCCGGAAAAATAGGGATGACAGAAAGAGAGGAAAAAGAGAGAGAAGGAAAAGAAAGGATAGGAAAAGGAGGGGGAAAAGGGAAACAATAAACAAACATATTTAATATTGATTATCATAACAATTTTCACAAATGGTTGATTAATTAAAACAATATTACTTTTATGACAATTTTCAAATGTTTGAAACCAGTCACAAATAATCCAAAGCAAAAGCAATAAACAAATCATTACAAATCATACAAGCATTAATTTTAAAAAAGATTTTCTAAGACAATTCACTAAAAATCTAAAGTAATTCCCACAAAATCATAAATGGAAATTAGGAATTATTCCAAAACACATAGGCTTCATTCATAATTGCTTTGTGTCAAAGTCTTGGGGATGTCCATAGTGTAGAGGACATCAGCCAAGTTGTGTGCATGAACTATAGACATCAATCTTGTCAGCTGTTTCATGCTCCAATTCATAATGAATAGGACTGCTGATAAAATAAAACCAAACAGAAGTAGAGTCAAAAGGAAAACAATGGCATGGCACACACTGTTCAGGGCACCCGTGGCAGTAGGAGACCGCCTAAAAGAGTATCCCACCATCTGTGTTCGGCATCTTCCTCCACTCTTTCCATGACACGATGTATCTGTCTCACATTGTGATGAACAGTCACCAGGGTTTTCTGTCCGTTTTTCTGAATCTTCTCCAAGATTTCAACCAAGTCTCGATGGAGCAGCAGTTGTCTTACCAAAGTGAGATTCATCCCAATAGGAGTAGGCATCAGTTTGTGAATCAGTGTGTTGCAACAGGTAGTGAGAGGTAAGTGGGGCTTCATAAGAGAAATCACATCCTGTAATCTTGGTAAAGTTACAAGCGCAGAAATTGGAAAGATTTTTAGTATCTACTACAACATTCTCTACGAATACAAAATCACAAATGGTTCTAAAGCATGCACATCTATTGCCTATGTATATAAGGACTGTTTCAGAAGTCTTGTTAGGACAAATTTCAAAATGACACATATTTTGCTCTGTGTCTAAACAAATGTCTTGAGCTCTGATTGCATTGATTTCACAGATGAGCCCTTGTTGTTCTCGGACAGTACAAGATTCTAAACCGACAGTTTGCCATTTCTCACCAATTTGACGGTCCCATTCTCTATGGGATAGAGAACAGCTTTGTTGTAATTCAGTTCTAATGCTATAACAGGGAAAATCAAATGCTCTGAGGCATTGTGTATGGTTAACACAAAAAGTGGCTGTATTTGAAATGGGGTCATAGGTAAAATTCACTAAGTTCCACCAGGATTGGAATTCTCTTTCAAAGTAAGTGGCATTGTCCCAAATTATTTTCCAAATTTTAGTGGGAAAAGTGCCTTCTTCACCTGCTCTTATAATTGAGGCAGCAACTGACTGCATCCACAATTGCGCCTGGATACAGCTGACAGCCAAAGAAACGTTGTTTTGTGTAGAAGCGAGTGCATCAATAACCAATTTGTGATCATTTACATTTACTTTCTCCCAATTTGGTAAAATGTTTGATGGCAATCACTGATTCCCAATGCCAGTAAGGATGACTTCTATGGTTGTTGTAATTTGGTCAAATCTCTGGATGTGGCAGCCAATTTATTCAAGTTCAATTAATTTACATGTTACATGTAAAATCATCACCTGGTGTTACCATAAAGGGAAGGGAAAAGATGATTTCTGTTGTCCATCTCTAGTGTTATCATGGTTTATCAGGTCTTCATGTCCCTCAGATTTCTTCTGTAAAAGTAAACACAACAGACTCTGCCACGAATAGGCAGAAAAAGTTAGAACAATGGAATTTTCAGAGACATTTTGAACAGCAGTGGTACTTCCCCTACAGTAGGGGGCTCCACCAAAACAGGTTGTCCAGGGTGATGTGCTGGGTTCTTGAAATCATCTGGTCCCCATAGTGAAGGAATTATGCTTGGAGCTGTCGGGCAAAAAGCAGTGATTTTGGAACCCATTTACCCACCATCTATAGTAAGAGGTCTGAGAAGTCCATTTAATCTTTTCACCTTCTGCCCAATCCTGCACACCTTTGACAGTAAGTGAGAAACATTATCAGATTGAATTTCCTGTGGTTTTAGGAAAATTGCAAACCATCCTTGCATTGCTTTAACAGAATTATCTCCTGTAGCTCCTTTAAAAGCATCAGCCTATATATCAGTCCCATATTTGGGACCAACCCAAATATGAACACAGCAGAGGACTCAGTGTAAATACAGACAAGAAAAGAATTCTGTCCCTCACGCTGGAAAATACTCCAGAAAGTTAACAGTTCCTCAGCGTGAGCACTGCGTTGTCCCTCTCTGTTAGCAGAAGCAGAAGAGAAAGGAGGGGTTGCTTTAATCACAGAGGCAATTTTGTCTTGGCTGCTATCCAAGCTCTCAGTTTCTTGTATTGCTAAGATTTTTTCCACTCCTATGAGAGCTAAGCTAACCACAAACAATCATTTTTCCCAGGTAGTGTATCTTTTCTCAGCATCTTTGAAGCCACGGGAATAGAAACCAACAGGCCTTGTCGGACCCTCAGGACCCTGCTGCCAAATGTGCACTGACATTTGCCCTGAGGAGGCAAATCCCCATTCCACCTGAAAGGGATCTGTGGGATGGACAGGGCCCAGTGCTTGGTGAGATGTTGCTTCAAAAATCAGCAATTGCAATGCTGCCTCCTGAGAAGGAGTCCAATCCCATTTCACCCCTTTGCTCAGCAAGTCATAAAGGGGAA